CATCAAACACACAAGAGTTAGGGAAACATTAGTCTACATCTTGTTTGTAAAAGCCACAAAAAAAAGCATATGAGATGGAAGTTATTTGTATCCAATTGTAATATATATTTAGAATAGAAAGAAGCTATTTGGTGATGTCTAATTTATAATAAGTCCTCCTTGGTAGTCACTAATTATGTCGTGTCATCCACCTTAAGACCCTTTCAAAATGAGTTTCCAATTCAGTTTCACAAACTTAGGCTGAGAATTCTTATCCATATTGCTAGTTTATTGATGACAACCACTTCTGAGTTGAAGTTTGGAGACATAATCATGCCACGATATCTCATTCTCAAATTAGTTAAGAATTCTTATCTATATTGCTAGTTTATTGATGATGACCACTTCTGAGTTGAAGTTTGGACACCACAATCATATCATGAGATCTCATTCCCAAGATTATCCATAGTTTTTCCATTTATGTCTTATCTAATAAACTTTCTTTATGAATTTTGCCGAGTAGAATTCATTTATAACATAAATTAGTTGAAGATATCTGGATATTGACTTAAGATGCTTTGGTTTTTGATCAAGATAGTGAGAGCTTTTTTATTCAGTAGAATGGTCATCAATGTATTTACCTTCATGTTTCACAGGTTTAATTTTTTACCTCATCGTCATCAATTACAGAGGGCAAAGAATGCAAAGCTTTAGGTGTGACCTTTTGGTCAATACTAGAATCAATTATTGAAACATCTATTACGTCATATTCTAATTTTGTCAGTGGGTTTAAAATATTTTTGATTTTATTCATTTAGTTACAAAAGCGTGCAGAATTTATAGTCAGAAGCTACAGTAAGACACACATTTAACGGTCTCAAACCCAGCCTCGTATGAAAGGCTTCATTATGTGTCCTCATTTTATGTAATCCCAAGCCGTTTAGGTCTTTTAATGGGCGAGTCTTATCCATTTTATCAAATTGATTTTATACTTTCCAGCTCCTAATCCTTAAATGAATTTAAAATGAATTTATCCACCTGGAGTCCAGGTGGGTAGTTATTGATGCTAGGAAAAGAACTATCTACATGGCTGTGGCACTTTCGTTACGAGCATTTGAACTTTGGTGGACTAAGAACGCTTCATCAAAAGAATATAGTGGTTGAGTTTCCTCAAATTACTGCATCCCCTTCTGAAATTTGTGAAAATTGTGTTGTTAGCAAGTAACACCGCAATCCCTTTCCACAAAGCAAATCATGGAGAGCAAAGAAAATGCTGGAATTGGTTCATTTAGATCTTTGTGAACCAATAAAACCAAGTTCCAATGGTGATAAAAGATATTTTATAATCTTTATTGATGATTTTAGTCGAAAAACATGGGTGTATTTTTTGCAGAAAAAATTTGAAGCATTTGTAGCATTTAAAACTTTTAAAGTACTTGTTGAGAAAGAAATCGACAGCCCAATAAAAGTTCTTCGCACTGATCGTGGAGGAGAATTTATTTCGCAAGAATTTATGAGCTTTTGTGAGAACAATGGAGTTAAGAGGCAACTTACAACAGCTTACACACCTCAACAAAATGGTATTTATGAGCAAAAGAATCGAACAATCCTCAACATGGTGCGAAGTATGTTGATAACAAGTGCTATTCTAAAAGATTTTGGCTTGAAGCTGTTGCTTGGACCATTCATATACTGAATAGGAGTCCTATATTTGTTGTCTAAGACTTGACTCCGGAAGAACCATGGAGCGGACA